CCTACAAATATATGTTATATATTAGACTAGTAAAATTTAGAAGTACCTTTAAACAATATACATATATCATGAAGATGGCGCTGCCAATACACTTGGAAAAGAATCAAAATTCTGAACGCATTAGTTGAGCGACCCCATTTGCTCTACTTTTCATAAAATTAATTTAGTTTTGTAAAGATTTGAGTCAATCTCTCTCTCTAAGATCGACGCAAACCCAAGCATAAACAATATGTCACTTACATATTTGTATAAAACAAAAAGGGTACGTCAAGATTTTCATAATCATCTTTGCACAAGTGGCATATATTGCCCAATCAGAGTACCCATCTTTATACTATACTGATTGTGACCAGTCTCTTTTGGTAGGCTATGGAAACCATGAGGCATAAGGATGAATTGGTTTATTCATATGGCCATTGAGGTAATGTTCATCACCTATTTATCTCTTAGCTTTCCATGAGCACTTTGGGATTAATAATATATATATACAAAAATAACATGTATAATTTCAGTTGTCCTTTATTGTCATTGTAGAGATAATGTGGTCTACATTAAATATGTATTTATATATAAACCTTTTTAGGGTTTCATTCATGGTTAATGAGAATTGATCGAGATAGTTTCTCTATCTAGACTCTACGTCTTCTCTAAATCTAACATGGTATCAGAGCGACATAGATGTGATCATCTCTTCTCTATTGCTACTCACAGATTGTGAAGGTCAGTAATCCATTTTTCGTTCACTTTGCTTAATCATCCATCATTGGATCTCTCAATTTTCATATGCAAAATTTTCGTTGCAAATTTGCAACTCTTTCCGTGCATCTGCATATTTTCAACTCTTTGAAGCCCTTCGTCGCAATTATTTAACTGGGTTCATTGCAACTTGGTTCTTGGTCACATCTCTGATGAGCCTCTCTGTATCAGTGAAGGCAATGTAAGAAGGGGTTGTCCTGTTACCCGGGTTATTGGCCATGATCTCAACTCTATCATGTTGCCAGAAGCCAACACAAGAGTAGGTGGTACCAAGATCGATACCAATAGCTGGACCCTCTCTTTTACCTGCTATTGAAGAAACTCAATTTACCAACACAAATAGTTGTGTGTGCAATTTTTGAATGAAACCCAATTTACCTGATGGTCTCATAGAGAGAGAGTGCGAGATTGTTCTCTCGCCTTGTTTTTTATTTGCCCTCAAATATCTCTTTTGATATATATCGTCTACTTTTGGAGAGTCGTCAGCTCCTTAAAAATATTGGTTTCAATCCACTATTCAAAGCTCGGAGATACTAATTGTTGAAAGAAAAAAAAAAAAAAAGGCCGATATTTAGCCCATAGAGTTGGAGTTGTTTTGGTGTTTTAATATATAATATATTTTCTTTTGAGTTCTTCTATACTCTTGTATCACCGTGTACTTCGGGTAAGTCATACCTTATCATGGAATTAAAGACTAATACCGAGAGTGCTACAATTTGTATGCATCTTGATGGGAAGAACTACTGCTTGTGGTCTTTCTAAATGAGACGTTTTCTCATGGGACGGAAGCTATGGGGTTATATTGATGGTTCTTTTTCCCAGCTTAAGGTTGAGGATGAGCGTAGTGATTGGCTTGCCATAGATAGTTCTATTGTGACATGGATTATGAACTCAGTTGAGCCCAAAATTGTATGCAACCTCATGTATCAATCTAGTGCTAAAGCAATGTGGGATTATTTTCAGAAGATTTATTCTCAAGCCAATATTGCCAGTCTGTATACCTTAGAATAGGAGAGCATGAAGACAAAACAAGGGGACTCATCAATTCAAGATTATTTTAATACTCTTTCAGGTATATGGAATGAGATGGACTCAGTGGAGACAAAGCCACCCACTGAAGTTATTACTCAAGCACGAAATCGATCTCGTTTATTTCACTTTCTTATGGGGTTGCGATCGGAGTTTGAAAGCATGATAGCATCAATCCTTCATTGTACTCCTACTTCACCAGTAGATGATTGCCTCTCAGAACTCCTTGTGGAAGAAACTCGCTTAAGCTCTCTTGGGGTTTGCAAATCCACATCACAAGATGCCACTGATGTGGCCTTAGCCACATCCAAATTCCCTAACAAAGATACTAATTATGTTCAAGTGCAATGTTACATATGCAAACAAATAGGCCACACGACCGATCGGTGCAAGAAGTGCAGTTTATGTAATTATTGTAAGAAGTTCGGGCATGAAATAAGTGATTGTTGAAAATGCCCTCAAGCACGTGGGAAGCCTCATGTACCTAGTCAAACTAAATGGGCTGCAGTTGCCTCTATTCCCAGTCCCCCCAGCATGGAGGATGCCACTTCCAATCACTCTCATTCTGCCTCCACATCTGTTATCCATGTATCCATACTAGATCTTCGCTCTATTGACTCAACTACACTCCAACAACTTGCTCAGGTTTTGGCTGCCATGGGTTTTTCAGGTAACTCAAATCCTTTCTCAAACACTTGGATCATAGACTCAAAGGCATCAAATCATTTGACAGGACAACTTTCGCATTTATCCTCGGTAAAACCCCATTATAAAAATATGACTTATTTTATTGCTAATGAGTCTCCACTTCATGTTACCCACTCTGGTAGAACCAGTGTCCCTGGTCCATCTGGTAACTTCTTAGCATTGAAAGATGTTCATCATATTCCCAACCTTCCTTTGAATTTAATATTTATTGGCCAGTTAGTTGATAACAAGTGCCTCATTTATTTTTCTAATAAAGGTTGTATGGTGCATGATCTAGCAACAGGGAAATTGATTGGGAGAGGCACTAAGCAAGGTCGGCTTTTCACAATTAGTTTCAGTACAGCTCCTTGTCATCTTTCACAAGCTCTGCCAGTTTGTCAAATTTCCCCTTCTCCTCATGAAATAAGTCAATCAAATTCTCTTTGGTATGTTTGGCATTGTAGGCTAGGACACCCACATTCTCAAAACATGCTTTCTCTTTTAAACTCTAGACTTTTACCTGCCATTTTCTCTCACAGAAATTTAATAAGAATATTTTTTGTGAGAGTTACAAGTTGGCAAAACACTTGGCTCAACTTTTCCCTCATAGCAAGAATAAAAGTATCGATCATTTCTCTTTAGTACACTATGATGTTTCGAGGCCCTGCTCCTGTTCCTTCAATTAATGGATTTTTTTATTAAGTGATATTTATTGATGATTTTTCTAAATATATTTGGATTTATTTTTTCAAAAACAAGTCAAATGTGTTTAGTGTTTTTAAAAACTTCCATAATATAATAAAAAATCAATTTGAGAAAAACATTAAAGTTTTTAGGTCTGATTCTGGGGGGGTGTATCTATCTATTGAATTTCAAGCATATCTTCATACAAATGGCATTATTCATCAATGTTCATGTCCTCATACCCCGGAACATAATGGAGTTGCTCAAAGGAAACATCGTCATATTCTTGAAACCACTTGTTCTCTTCTTATTAGCTCTCATTCCCCAAAGAACATTTGGGATGAAACGATGTCTACTACTGTCTATCTTGTTAATCTTCTTCCTACTCCAATTTTGCAAAATGTGTCAACATTTCAAAAAGTTTTTAAAAAACCCCTTGATTACTCACATTTATGTGTGTTCGAGTGCACATGCTTTGTACTTTTACCATCTTCTACCCATGATAATCTCTCACCAAAGTTTGTCAAATGCATGTTTGTAGGTTATTCAACAACTCAAAAAGGATATCGTCATTTTGATCTTGCTATTAATCATATTATAATATCTCGGCATGTTACATTTTTTGAACACATACCTTTTCACCAACACTGCCCACACCATAATTCAACTACACATGGACCTAAGTTTTTTTTTTTTCCTTGTTTCGATATTCCTCGTCTTCATTATCACGCAAATCAAGGATTACCACATTCAGTAACTAACCCTGATTAGCCTCCCTTGTCAAGTGCTGATCATGTATCACCTCCAGTTGTTGATCCTTCTACTAGTCCTGTTCTCCTTCGATGGTCACTTTGAAAGCACATTCTACCTTATCGTCTTAACTTACCAATGGTTAGCCCATCACATACTTGTTCTCCTGCAACCATCACTAATCCATTGTTTGATAAGCCATCTTCTTATTCGCAGGCATCTTACTTCCAATGATGGCGTATAGCTATGAATGAGGAAATTGCAGCTTTGAAGGCCAATCACACTAGGGATTTGGTCCCATTGCCCCCAGAAAAGCATGTCATTGGTAGCAAATGGGTTTATAAAGTCAAGTTACGAACTGATGGCACTCTTGATTGGCAGAAAGCCCAATTAGTTGCTCAAGGTTATGCCCAGAAGCTTGGCATCGATTATGAAGAAACTTTTGCTCCAGTTGCTAAGATGAAAACTATTCGTACTTTTATTGCACTCGCTTCTATTTATGAGTGGCTCATACGACAGGTGGATGTCAAAACTGCATTCCTTAATGGCAAAGTTCAAGAAGAAGTTTATATGTGTCAACCACCTGGGTTTGTTTCTCAATATAAGTCATTGGTTTGTCGTCTTCGTAAAGCAATTTACGGTCTCAAACAAGCTCCCCGTGCATGGTTTGAGCATTTTTGGGTTGTCATTATTGCAACTGGCTTCACTCAAAGTGAACATGATCACTCCATGTTTATTCGTACCACATAGCATGAAATTTGTATTATTATATTATATGTTGATGATATTCTTATCTTTGGCAATGATTTCATTTCCATCAAGGATGTGAAGCTATGATTGCAAGAAGAAGTTCAAATGAAGGATCTTGGGGAAGTATCTTATTTTCTTGGCCTTGAGATCTCTCGCTATAAACGTGGTATTTACATCCATCAATAAAAGTACGCTCTTGATCTTGTTTCCAGTGCCCATTTGAATGATGTGAAGGTTATTGATATACCCATGGAACTCAATTTTAAATTTTCTCAAATGTTGGATATCCTCGTCTTGAGCCTACGTTTTATCGCAAACTCGTTGGCTCCCTCATCTATCTTACTATGACTCGCCCAGATATTACATATGTTGTCCATGGTGTGAGCCACTTTGTTTCAGATTCTCGACGACCACATCTATCAGCATTTCATCGAATTTTATGTTATATTCGAGGTACTTCCATTCGTGGATTATTCTTTGACTCCACATCTTCTTTAGATCTCAGTGCATATGCTGATGCAGATTGGGCAGGTGATCCAAATACTTGTCGTTCTACTATAGGATATTGTGTGTTTCTTGGGTCATCATTAATATCATGGAAGACTAAGAAACAGGATATTGTTTCCAAGTCAAGCTCAAAAGATGAGTATCGTGCTACGTCATCTGTTGATAGTGAGATTGTTTGGATTCATGCTCTTTTCAATGAGTTTGGTATCTCTATTTCAAATCCTACACCTTTATATGCAGATAACCAGAGTGCAATTAAGATTGCATGTAATCCAATTTTTCATAAACGCACAAAGCATATTAACTTAGATTGTCATTATGTTCACGATGGCTATCTTGATGGTACATTATCTCTTCCTTATATTTCTTCTACTGCGTAAACGATTGATATTTTCACCAAATCTATTATTCAGAGCCATCATGATTTTCTAGTGGACAAGCTAATGCTTTCCTCATGTCTGCATCAGCTTGAAGGGGGATAATAATATATAGAGTAACAATCCTATGAGTTCCTACCAAACCCATGTGTGTATGACCCTAAAAGATCACCATTAAATTTGGCACATATCTCTAAGAAAGTCAAGTCCCACACCCATGTGATAACTTTTCTAGAGATCTGTGCCAAATTTGATGGTGATCCTTTGGGGTCCTATACACATGGGTGTGGGAGGGTCTCATAGGACCATTACTCTAATATATATACAAAAATAATATATATAGTTTCAGTTGTCATTTATTGTCATTATATATCTGTATAGGGATAATCTGGTCTACATTAAATATGTATTTGTATATTAAATCCTTTTAGGGTTTCATTCATAGTTAATGAGAATTGATCAAGATAGTTTCTCTCTCTAGACTCTACATCTTCTCTAAATCTAATAGGGATGTGAAATCTCCATTATTATTTGGAACCTAAGTGAACCTTTCATCAGTCTGGTTCTGAAGACTATGTCTCATTATAAGTGGAAGGATTTCGTGACTTCCTTTCTAGGACAAATAGTCTTTTTTGGTGACATTAAGGACCTCTATATGAGGCCTCCAAAGATATTGTTTCCTCATCAAATCTTACCACATGGTGTGTTTAATTTTCAATTCCTGTCCAAGTTAAGCTAGTAGAGTGGTGTTAATGTCTTGAATAATTTTGATACCCAACCCACCTTCGATCTTAGGTTTATAAATAATACAGCATTTGACAGGGTTTCGGATCCCTTATGTTTTTTGGTTTCCCAAGATGAGGTTCCTACATGATCATATATGCATCTTAAAATCAAATTCCAAAAAAGAAATAGAAAAAGAACAGTAATTGAGCTCGAAATGCCTCATTTTCTATGTTTATCAAAATCGATTTTTCACTCTTGCAGTATAATTTGGTTTGAGGCACTTTTTAAATTCCTAATCACTTTTTTAACATTGATCGTGCTGTTTATAAGATGCTGGAGAGTTTCGGGGTCCAACCATACCCCTCAACAAGGCGTTGGTCGTGCAGGACCAAATCAACAATTTTCTCCCAAGAGACTTTGTAAACTATTTCCTTTTCTAAATAGTGGGTGGGGTGCGGTGTTCTGAATCGATTGAGAGCAGGGAGACCTAGTTCGTCTTTTTCTCTCATACTTGCAAACCGAGTTTCCTTTTTATGTTCTTTTTAATTATCATTTTGAAACTAAAGAAGGATCACAAAGCACAAATCCGGATTGTGTTTTTATGCACTTATTTTGTCAAACAAAATTGTACGATGCTCCTACATCCACTAGTTCGAGAATTGGATTCCCACTTGGTATGACCATAGTTAGCAAGTCGGAAAATAACAAAATTTGTCAAGTCAAAACATCGGTAATGAATCGATTTTGTTTAAAAAAGTCAGTGAAAGAAATCGAGTCAAAAATACGGATCGCCAAAAAATAAGATAAGTTAGAAAGTCGTGAATAATTTGGATTTGTCTAAAAAAGTGGAGTGAAAAAATTGGATATATAAAGATAACATAACATATGATTATGATTTGTAGTTATTGTATAGATACCTTAAATCTATTGAATAATAATTTTTCGACCTTACCTAGTGTCGTTAGAGTGATAATTGACAATTTATTGTCAAAACTTTCAATAAATCCAACAACAATGCTTATTTTGTTGTCACAACACCAAACATATTACAAATTTATTTGGAGCACAAAATTAAATATAAATAATACGTAACACAAGAACTACACTAGTATATAACAAGAACGGTAAACTAAGATATATATTATTGTTTAAGAAAAAAAAAAAAACAAAAAAGACCTTCAGAATAGGATTGCACTTTGCTAAAACATACTACATACCCAAGTACGTAAAATAATCATCCATCCAAAATGCTAAGTTGTATACATCAATACATAAAAACTAAAAAAAATAAACTTAATCAAACTTCTCTCGATATAAAGAAAGCAACAAAAGGTTTAATCAAATTCGAATCTCACACTGAATTCCTAGCTGCTTAAATCTTTACAATAAAAAATATTTCAGCAATTTCGAATCTCATAAAAAAATGCTCATTATAAGTATCCATTGGGTTTAAAGAGAAAAAAAAAAAGAAAGGATTTTTCATTGGGTTAGTCTTCTAACTCTGCCTATTATTTTGAGATATATGATTGCCCTGATATCTTATTTTTTGGGGAACATATTCTTTGTAATTTTTTATAAACTTTTTTTAAGGGAAATTATTGGTGAAACATTCTATGGGATTTTACTTTAAATCAAGATTCTTAATTTGCTCCTACTATTAATTTGCTTATCTTTAAATAAAAAGTCAATAATATTAAATTAATGAAAAATAAAGTTATAGGGAAGAAGTTTTTTTTAAAAAAGATAAAATACGGTTTTACATCGGTCCTATAAAAAAACCACGATTTTTTGAAGGTCTTTTGAAAAACTCGGAGTTCTAAACGGATTTAAAAAAAAGTCGGAGATTTTTTGAAAAAATATTGTTTTAAACGGAGACTTGCTAATTATGGGTATGGCAGCTCTTTCTCCCTCATCTAGTGTTTGAAACCACTGCTCAGGCTGAATACTCAAGCCCATGCTCGAGCCGAATACTGAGTCCGAATAACTCGACCCATTTAGGGTCGAATACTTTAGTAGAAAAAATTATTTAATAAAAGGTGAAATATATATTTACAATAAAATTAAACAAAAAATCTAAATATGGATAAAAAATAGCAAAAAATTGGTATTTGAACAAATCAATTTGTGATAGGAAGTATTTTAGAAATAATCATAAAAAAAAGGAAAATATAAAAATAAGTATGGGAAAAATAAGAGAATTTAAGTACGGATAATATCGGTGTAAGTAACAAAATGGGAACATGCTTGTCCCAAATTACACCCTTTCCCTTGAGATTTTTAGATTCCCTTTATCCAGAATTAGGGTTTCATGATTGGGGTTCCACTATAGGATTTGAGGACTTGGGAATTTAGTTTTTCGGTCTCTCTGTAAAATGCCTCCTACAAGCTTCTCCTGACTCCTCAAAAGCCTCTGGGAAATCCACACCTAAAACCTCTGCAAAGAAAACCGACCCCAAAACCGCCCTTAAAACCGCCTCCAAAGCTTCTGAGACCACCAAGAATTCCTGTGAAACAGATATCGACAGTGCCTCTAAAACCGTTATCGAAGGTTCTGAAACCGCCGTTGAGGACAAACCTGGAACCGCAGCGAAATCATCCGAAACCACTAATAAAGCGGACTCTGAAACCACCATCAAATCATCCCATGAATCCTCTGAAACCGTTTCCAAGTCCCCTGAAACTGCTGTTAAATCCACCATTGAAAACACCCCAATAGCCTCTAAGACCACGTCCAAAGTGTCTGCAACCACTATCAGAACCCCTTAAACAACTTCCGAGGCCTCTGGAGCCAACACCGAAACTACCACCAAAACCACGAAGAGGAAGATCATCAAAACCATTGTTAAAGTTAGGCGCAAAAAGGTATATCCTTCTGTAAGCCCTTCATTGGGCTGTAAACTACCCCAAGCTCTACTCTCTAATGAGGGGATAAAGGCGGTGAGGTAGGAAATAAAGCTCGGTTTATGGGCATTGGGCTGCGGCACCACGCCCTTGTACTGGGACGAAGGTAGCTTGCGGGGCTCCGCCTCAACGCAGCCCAAGCCTGCTTCCCATTCGCTGTAACCCAGAGAGTCCATCTTTTAGTGGGGGCCTTTGGAGATATCATCACTGTCGATTACAATCCAGGCCAGTTTCTCTGTTGAACGGGCGGAGCTCTCAGCCATGTCATTGCAACTACTGCTTGTCTTTTATTCTTACAAAATAGAAAGAACAGAGAGAGAAAGAGCTATATAGGGAGGGGTGATGTGTATACAGAGATAGCGAGAGGAGTGGAGACGATGATAAAGAGGAGTGGAGGAGTTTTTTTTTTTTTTTTTTTTTTTTTTTTTTTTTTTTTTGTTAACTATTGAGAGCGGTTGTCCGGCGATGAGAATGCCGGACGGTATTGGAATTAATTTAGAAAAATAAATCTGTCCGGTATTGACATTGCAGGATATGGAACAACTTAGGAGAAAAAAAAAATGCCGCTTGAGGTGGGGGATACCACCCTTAATCGGTAATTTGAGACCAACGAGATCTTATTTTGTATTTGACGTTGATACGTAAAATTTTATAAAAATAATCAAAAAAGAAGGAAAAATATAAAAATAAGTATTCAATAATCATTAGCCAAAAAATTTTCCAATCCCTACCCAATTGAAAGAAAATTATATATATCTATTAAAAAAAAGTTCCCCATTTTTTATATTTTTTAATATTTTTAATATCACTCCGTAGAACCGAGGCAACACGTGCTCGGTTTGAGTAAAACTCAAGCCGAGTAGAGTTGTCGAACGTTACTCTCAACTACATTCCTTTCTTTTTAGCTCTTTCGACCAAGGTCTCTCTCCAAACCAAGGTCTCTCTCCCCCAGTCCTTGACGTCTAAATCAAGCTTTCCCTCTTGTCACTCTCTCACTAGATTTCTAGGTTCCTCTGATTCTCTCCATTCCTCCCTGATCACAAATGTCTTTTCCTTTCTCTATGTTTGTATATTCCGCAAACAAGAAACTCTCTCTCTCTACATGTGCCTATATTATGTCAGCAATTTCTCATGATATTCTGCATCCTGTCAAAGCTCTCATTGCAGCATCTCTCATGGTCTTATACCTTCTTATGGTTTCATCTCATGGACAAAGAGGTACCATTCGCAGCGCTCACAATCTGTGCCGTATTACCTCATCATCCAACCCAATCAATTCATTCATCCCCATCTGTCTCTCTCGATCGCGAGAGAGAGATTTAGAGACAGAATTGCTGTATAGGTTGATACAAAACTGAAACAAAACTATGTACATA